ACAGTTTAAATAGACCTTTACATTATAAACACTTCTTACAGGTTTTTATAAGAAGTACCATGTCATCAATATTCTGAATGTATCCGTAGATTGGTGTCTTATGTATCTGACACAAGACTTCTCTACACTTGCTGAGAGAATGCACTATTTGCCCTAAGCATAAAGGATGTTTTCTACAGATCTAGTCCATTGCTCTTAGCCATGGTGGTTGCAGGCTTAATATTTAGCCTGATAAATAAAACATTTCTTCTAGGCCTGAAGTTAAATCATTTCATAAAACGTATGCAGGTACAGTCTATTAACTTAGTCTTGTTTCATGTACTTGAAAAACAAAATCAAGCATTTGTAAGAGGTGTGTGTGTGTGTGTGTGTGTGTGTGTGTCCGTCCAACCTTGGGTGTTGTTCTCAGGAGCTATCCATTTTTTATGTGTGCATTTTTTGAGACAGGGTCTCCCATTGGGATCTAGGGCTCGCTATTTAGGAAGGCTAAGCTGGCTGACCACTGAACCCCATGGATTCTCCTGTTTCTGCCTCACCAGAGCTGGGATTATAAGCATGTGCTACTATACCCAGCTTTTTATGTGGGTGCTGGGGATTGGGCTCTGGCCCTCAAACCTACAGGTAAGCCTCTTGGCCCCCTGGAGGATACTTTCTGTGTGCTCTTCACATTTGCTGTTATGAGGTTTAAGCACAAGAGATTTTTTTTCTCACTACTTTGATGAAAAGTCATAGTAACTGAGCTGACTTTTCTATTATTTCTATCTAAATAATTTTAGAATGTATAGTGTATACTACCTGGTATAAATATAAGGATAGCATTAAATGTTTGTGCTTTCATTCACAAATGAGGCTTTGATGGGACCCCTTCTCCCTTTGGGGGAACACGTCTATGGTGAGATTTTTGGTTATACTGTCTGCACAGAATAGAACTAGGTGGCTTTGCCTTGCTCTGCAAGTTTATATGAGAAGGTCTTGCTCACCAGAAGTGGGAACAGACTCTGCAATAGAACATCTTCAGATGCTTAGTACTGTGAAGAAAGTGAAGTAAGGAGAGCAGTGAGTGACCTTCTGTTCTAGATGTGACAGCCAAGGTCCCTCAAGTGAACAGAAACCACCATGAAGCCAGTGGCCATATGAGAGAATAGCATCCTAGACAGAGGAAGCAGAGGAAGCAGAGGGAGGGAGGGAGGGAAGGGGGGGAAGAGAGAGAGAGAGAGAGAGAGAGAGAGAGAGAGAGAGAG